GAAGAAGGTCCGTGTAAATCTAGAGAAATCATCAACAATAACAAGCATATATAAATTATCACTAAAACTTTTAACTCTTGAAGGGTCCACCAAGTCCATATGTAAAAGCTAAAGGGGTCTTTTAGAGGATATAAAATCCTTAAGTTTGAAAGAAGTCTTAGTTTGTTTTCCAAATTGACATTCTTAGTAGATTTTTCTTTGATCAAAACTTAAGGGTGGAAGTCTAATAACTAAATCATTATTCACTAATTTTTCTAGCTATTTTTTATGAACATGTGCCAAGTGTTTATGCCATAAAAAGCTTTTCTCATATTTATTCATAAAACATTTTTGCAAACAAGACTCAGATTCTAAATTGAATGTATAACAATTACCGTCCCTGTCACCATGAAGAACTATCTTTCCATCTAACTCCTTTTGTACTATGCAAGATTTTGAGTTGAATATAACTCTGTTTCCTTTATCACAACTTTGGCTAACATTGATAAGATTGTGAAAAAGTCCTTTAATGTATAAAACATCTTAAATGGTTGCTTCTCTTTCATTACTGTTCTTCCTAATGCCAGCAATATGACTTTTCTGATTTCCACCAAAGGTTACATTTCCTCCTTCTTTTTCTAAGAGTTCCACAAACTCATTAATATCTCTAGTCATGTATCTCAAACACCCACTGTCAATGTATTACTTTTTCTTTTCCTTTGAGACAGTGAGACAAACCTATAATTATAGGATTATTTCTTTTTAAGTACCCATTTCTTTTTAGGTCCTTTTTTGTTAGTTGAACTCTCGGGTACATAAGTACCTTTGGGAACTCATTTCATAAACACACTGATGCCATTTTTCTTATGAAGACAAGCTTTGATATGATGACCTTTCTTATTATAGAATGCACATGTGATAAAATGACTAGATGAATGCATAAAAGGCTTAAAAAAACTATGATAAAACTTTGCTGCCTTCTTTGGTTTTTGTTAGAGGTGTTAGTTGTGGGATTATACCCGATTACTGATCTATTAGTAATACAACATTGAGAACCAATTAAAATATTTAGTATCTCAACACCTTGAGTAAACTTAGCTAAATTATTTTTTAGGGAGTCATTTTGGTTCTGTAATGAATTGCATTTATCACATAATTCATTCTTTTTGCATTGTCCTTTAAAAATAGTCCTCTTGGCATGCAAAAGTTGTTTGCATTGTTCTTGAAATAAGGTAAATAAATCATTAAATTCATTTTGAAGTAAGTCAGAGTTTACCTCATTTGATTGTGCTTCAATTAGATGGTCTTCTTTCTCTTGTCCTACAAGACAAAGATTGGCTATTTTCTTTTCTTCATCTTCATCTTCTAAAGAACTATCTCCTCAGGCTGCAAAAGCTTTCTTTTTCTGAGGTTTTTCTTTCTTCTTTTCCTTTTCTTGTTTCTTTTGTTGTTAGGGACAATTCCATTTGATGTGACCAGGCTTCTGACATATATAACAAGCGAGAGGTTCCTTAATATATAATATAAAATAATATAAAAATAATTTTTTGTTTGATTATGTAATTTTAAATATAAAATAAAATTTTTATCATATAAAATATTTTAGTTATAACATAGATAATATAAAATGATATACACAAATATTTATTTTCATAATATATATTAATTGATATTAAATAATATATTTATTAACTAACAATAAATATTAAATTATATTTATATGTGTTAATTTGTGTGTGTATGATAATATATATTATCAACATATTTAAATAAAAATATATTAAATATATAAAAAAATACATTAAATTAAATATATGTGTTCAATTAAATAATAAATATTAAATTTTACATGTTAAGAATGAAAAGTCATCATAGTTCAACTAGAAAAAGACACATGTACAAAAAGAGAGAAATCTTGGACAAGGCAACGTCATATTTAAAGAGAATTAAAATAAATTGTTGATAGAATAATAATTTTATTGATAATATTAAAGATGAGGTCCTAAATTTACCCGTCAATAATTTCTTTTTTTTCCTGGTAGTGTCTCTTACCTATAAATAAGCCCCATATGTATGGATCATTTGATAATGTTAATGAATGATGATTTTCTCTTGAATTTGTTAAAACTCTCTATGCAAACTTTGCAAGCTTGTGGGAATTTTAAGGTGAAGATTAACATAATCAATAATCTAATCAACCCTTGTAGTGTTTTGAATATCATGATTGCTAAAAGCAAATGTTCTAATTATCCTTTTCTTGATATTCCTTATCCTTGTTATTTCATTTTATCTATTTTTTTTCTTATTGTTTATTTTCGATTTTAATTTGTGTTTCTAGTTGTTCTGAACCAGCACAACATTTCCACTCCTATATCATTTCTTGTATTTACTTTATATAACTTCTAATTATACAAATATATTGTTTAATTCTCTTATTTTTATACTTGTAACTCTTCGGGGTTAGTCCTCAATATTAGGATCCTATAAATAGAGGAGATGTATAACGTAAATTAGTAAAAATCACTCCTCTTTTACTTTTCAATTTTCTCATATTCTTCGTCTTCATTATTCTCATGTTCTTTTGTATTGTTGATTTCTCTTTATCTCAATCTCTTATTCCTTCTAATTTCATAACAAAACATAATTATTTTTTAAGTCATTTTTAATCTTTTCTTTAAAATGGAAAGATTAAATATATAATAAATTGAAAGTCATCGATTCCCTATTTTTAAGAATTATTTTACAAGTTGGACAAAATTTTTCTTTTCCTTATATATGTGTATATGAGGTTTTCAAAATGAGAAATTGATCGAAAGAAACAAATTGAAATTGAAACATATATAAAAACATAAAAAAAGGGAATAATTAAAAAAGAAAATAATGAAATAATTTTAAGATGGATATACAATGCAACATATGAATAAGATCCATACACATTAGATACAGTGATATTTTCAGTTTAAAAAATATGATCAAGTACATCTAATGTATGAGCACTTAGAAATATAAGAAAATTATTTTTTAAAAAAAAAATCTTTGATTTTAAAGGAAAATGATACTATAAATAAAAATGGTTGATATGGCCAACTATCTTAAAAAAAAATAATTTTTAACAGTACCTGAAATTATCGGTTTTGAAATATTCAGTCCCAATCTAAAAAAATTGAATATATATGAAAAATGAAAAATAATGTTAATTTTAATTAAAAAAAATATTTAAATAGTTTACTTATGAGAAAGCATCTCCATATGGATATTATAATTGAGAATACAGGCAGGTCTGGCCTTTAAGGGCCTAGGCTCTTGAGCCTGGTTATCAATTTTTAGCCTCTTTTTTGAAGCCCGGCCCTTATGTTGGGTCAGGGTCAGGCCTAGAAGCCCTATTAAAAAAAATTAAAATAAAATTAAATATTATAAATTAATTAAAATATTTTGAAATTAAAAAAAATTAAAATCCACACAATATTTTAAAAATTAAATAACATATTTAGAAATCTAAACAACAAAGATTCATCAATCAAAACCCAAATCCTCCTCATCCTCATCATCTACAAATAAAATATTAGATCCCTTGGATGTAAATGTACTTATTGAAGATGGAGGTGAAAATTCAATGTCAATTACTTTTACAACTTCTTCTTGATCACCTACAATAAATATTAATCAAATTATGTCATCATTAATTAAATACATGTATGTATGTGTGTGTGTGTGTGTGTGTGTGTGTGTGTAAAATAACCATATTTATCAAGGCTTAGAGGGTCGCCTGACCCCGAGCTTTTTTTTACAAGGCTTATTAGGGCCAGGTTCTTAAACTCGGTTTTTTTTTAAATAATTTTTAAAACTCAAATTTTTATTTAAATAGGGTTTATAAGTCCGATTTTTATTCTCAATTCTAACTGATATTGAAGGAAGATTTACCTTCATCCTATAGAAAATTTTATTTATCAAAACACTATTCTTTCAAAAATATTTATGAAGATATCATAAGTTAAAACACGGTTTGATAATTATCGAATTTTAAATATTTTTGTCAGACATTTACATGACTCGCCTGCTATACTTTCTGTCTAAGTCCTAACGCGCAAAACTTCCCAACCACGGTCACAGTACAAAGATACAAGCAATTCAAGGGGTGTTCGGTGACTTATCTTGAGAAGAGTTTTTTTATTCTCCAAAATAAAAAAAAAGAATTTATTTGATAATATGTTTTTAAAAATTATTTTGAAAAATAAAAAACTAGATATCATTATGAAGAATAGAAAAATAAAAATATTTTTTAAGTGTTATGGGATTATTATCTTAAGGAAAGGATGAAAAAAATATTCATGTTCATTATTCTTCTCTCATAACATATTCTATAAAACATTAGTTTTTGTAATAATTAAAAAAAAACATTTTCAAACAAGTCTTGACTTTCTCCGGATGTGTATATATATAGTGGTTTTTTTTAATACCCCAAAATAATTATTAATCATATGGTTGAAAATCATGGTTAAAAAACACTTAAATATTCTCAAGTTTTCCAGACTCTATTCGGTTGAAATGACAATAAAATACTGGTCACTAAACGAGTAATAACTCTTAAACACAAAATGCGATGGTTTAGTGGTGGTGGTCCGCTGGCTGCCATAAGGGCTCTTGCCACTCTGACGGTTTTCCAGCAGTAAGTGATCGTAGAGGAATTTTTTTTTAAAATAAATGAGAAATGATTTTGTAATTTTATAATAATTTTAATTATATTTTAATCTTGCAGAATAATTTTAAAATCATTAGTTTTTTTGTGAGTATAATGTTAAAGATGTTTTTGATTGTGGATTTTCCTAATTTATATAATATTTTAATAAAAATCTTTAAAAGTATAAAATTGTGATAAATAAAATTTTTTTATAGCATGCTGGTAAATTTGGCGATATCAAACATGACACATGTATACATTAAACATTTTTAAACTTAAAATCTTGTAGCTTTGCCGCTATAAATTATGAAATAACTATAATAATAGCTATATTCACAAACCTCACAAACCATTCCTCTTTCTTCACGACCGTCTTGTCCCAGGCAGTGCTTGACCGGTGGATTTCCTTCAAGCATGTCCCTTTCTTCCCGAGTGTTTGATGTTTATAAGGTACGTGAAATTTATTTTGGATTGTTTGATGATTAACGCTGTTGTAATAGATGGTCTTGATTTCATATGTATGGATGGTGCTTGAAACTTTCGAATGGTTCTGTAAAGGCCGATGCATCATCACACAAGAATTTTTGTAAATATAATGATAACCTTGGTTCAACGCAGATGCAGAAGGTAGGCGGATCGAAGAGCAGAGGCTGAAGCTGAAGGTTTGGACAGGGCATTAATGGCTAATTGATTCGCAAAACTTTTGCCCTAACCCTTGCTTGCTTGATTCTTGAACTCTTTCGAATCTCCAAAATGCAAAATCAGCTCCATACTTCACTCTCTTCTTCTGAAGTACTCTTACGTTTGCCTCAACCATCGCTTGCCCTTTCGCTGTTTTCCAACCCTTCTGCTGACGCTGGCTGCACAACAGATTCTTCTCTGGACTCGGTTTCAAATGTTCAGAATTTGATCGTCAATGAAGTTCGCCCCATGAGATATGGACCTGTGAGTTGAAACTATCCCTTTTTTCTCATATTTTCGAAGATTTAAATTATCCCAAAAGGGAGTTTTGAATGGTAAAATAGCGGCGAAATTTATTTTACAATGTCACGAACCTTTCCGCATTTGAGTTGAAATGCGGAGCGGAGCCGCTGCTGGTGGAAGTATTATCCGTGATGATCAAGGGAACTGTTCAAATACCTTGATATTACGTAGCACTGCTGCTGTACTTTTGGTTATTCTCGAAGGGCTGGGCTTTGCTTGGTATAGTCTATTGAAATCAACGTCTACTCTTTTAAAGTTCTTAGGCTTATTCGCCATGATTCCAATGAGAATCACCTTTTTGAAATCATCGTGAACATAAGAGACTTTCAGACTAAGCTCTAATTGATATTAAAATTTTTTAGACAAGTCGCTTTTAGAGTTAAAAGCTTTCTGGCTTGACTTAATCATTGTCCTTTACATTACACGGTTTTCTGTAGTCTTTTTTATTCAAAAAGAGCGGAAGACTAGTATTCCATTGTTGCTGGAGCAGGATCTTGATGTTTTCAAATTTTTTCTCTAGTATATTAGAAGGACAGAGACACAGGTGGGACCACTTAAATTGGGGGGTCAGGGTTTTAAGGATAAAACCAGAATACCTGTTAGGCATTGCCTTGTGTTTAGGTCAATGTATTCTTTTCCTTGTTATTATATTAATCTAATTTTTGGTAGCAAAAACAAAATAGTACTTACAATTTTACATGGGACAGCTGGGTGCGTCAAAATAGTACTATTATTTTATACTCCCTCCGTTCAAAATTATAATGTATTTTTAATTAAATTTCACCCCCTGATAATTTAATTACTTGTCTTTAAATTAACCCTATCTTTTCATATTTACCTCCATTTAATAAGGTGTTTCACCCTAAAATAAACATGAAGTGTTTTATTCAATAAGAGCACTTTTGAAAAAATGTAATTATTACACTTTGAAAGATTAAAAATATCTTACATTTTTTAACATCTAACCCCTCAAAAAATGTTTTTATGTTTGAATGGAGGGAGTACTTTCTTTCTTTTGGTATGCAGGCGGACGAAACTTCTCAAGGAACTTCCAATTTGCCCACAATTTTTCATAATTCGTGGAGGGACAGCTGGGTGTGTCAAATTAATCAAACCAAAACCAACAATCCAATGCAATGTGAAGTTTGTAAAATTGATTTTAATAGCAAGAGTATGTTTGGAGACCACATGTCAGGGAAGAGACACAAGAACATGCAATTGCACAATAATCCCAGCAATGAAATATTATCAGTAACATCTAATGTGAATTTTCAAATCCAAGAAAGTAGTGTCCACGGACAAGAGCTATGTGTACATGAAGGCAAGGATTTAAAGTCCAAGGAACGAAAGCTTTTGAGTAGTGGTGAAGCAGAGCATGCTGATCAAGTTAGTTGTGGATTTAATCAGATTTTCTTTAGGCTATTTATTTATTTCCATGTGTTTTATCCCTCCTGATTTGATTAGTGTCTTATATTGTTTATCTTCAAATTTCTGTCTGCTCTTCAGTTTTGCTAGTGCTCTAGACATAATTTCTTGCATTAAACATAACTTATCTGGACAGAGTTGCCTGAACGATAAACATGTGAGGTGGTTGGCTGTCTAAAATACCTTTATGGCTGTGCAAACCTGTCACCATTGTGTCGATTGTGAGGGTATTTTGACGTTGAATTTCACTGCTTCCTTTTTATAATTTGTCATGTTTTTTTGCATCCAAAAATAGAATCCAGTATATTCTCATTGACTAATCTGGACTTGATCGTACTGTTTGGCCAAACTCCTAATATGTTTTTCACTTTAATCTAAATAACTTATTAAGTAGCTGAGCATGACAACTTTTAAGATTCTCTCCTTAGCATCTAGCATGGATATGTGGATCAGGTGAAAGTTTATGCATGTGCCAAGTAGTGTTGTTAAAGGCGCACATACATTTATCATTTTATCCATGATTTGTTGTCTATACATCATGCATTTTTACGTGGAAGTGCCTTGCTTTACTCGAGCACATCCCTTTCTAGCACCTTGTGCCTAACGTGTTTTACAGACCTTGCTTCCAAGGCATTTTATAGACCTTGCATCTTTCACCTTTAACAACACTGGCGCCAAGGGGTTGGTGCTGCTCCATCTTTCTTTCTTTCTTTCTTTTTCGTCTGGTGTGTGTTTAGGTGCCAAGAAAACCTTACCGTGTTCTTTTTTTTTTTTTCTTTTTAAAACCACCTGATGATTCATGTTACACTATTTGCAGCGTTTCTTAGTTTCTCTGATCTGGTTGATCCATTAGTAGTTTGGTTTAACAACCTACTTTCTTCTTCTTGGTGTCATTTTCTGTTGACTTTCGTGATGTAATGCTGCAAGTGATATGGTGGCTGGGAATCACTAGAGGGATATTTCTAAATTGATTAAGCATTGTTGGTTACTTCTGTAGGTGGACTTGACATCTAATAGTGGGATTGGTCCAGAGAAAATTAAGGTTGCTCAACCTGTTCAATGTGAAATTTGCATGATCAATTGTAATAGTAACGATGTTTATATCAAACACTTGTCTGGGAAGAAACACTTGAGGAAACTGGAGAAACTATCTAAATTAAAAAATGATGGTGTAGCTGGTGTCACTACAGCCATCACAACAAATGATTTGCAGCTTGCATCAAATCCGGCTTTTGAGAAGCTGGACGCTAATAAACAAGAACGGATGAATTCATATCATCAACCGGAAAATGCAGTCATATTAGGAGCTCCAGAAAAGGACATTGAAACAAGGAAACGAAAAAATGAACTTGAAGGTGGGACTTCATTAACCTCTACCATGTTTTGCACTCTATCTAATGTCAACAATAATGAGAAGGTCTTTAATTTGCCTGATTTCCCTGCTCAATGCAAAATTTGCATGATCAATTGTAATAGTGAGCATGTATATATCAGTCATGTATCAGGGAAGAAACACATGAGGAACCTGGAGAAACTATCAAAATCAAAAAATGTTGGGGCTGATGCTAGTGGAGCCAGTGTGGTTGCAGCCAGTGTGGTTGCAGCCAGGTTGGATTCAGCAACTGAGCCATTGGAAAAGTTGGACAGTAGTAAACAGGAATCCATCAATTTACATCAACCAGGAATCGCATTCATATTAGATTCTCCAGAAAAGGACATTGAAACAAAGAAACAGAAGATTGAACTTGAAGGTGGTGGGGCTGGAACCTTTTCCTGCAATCAGATCAATGTCAGCAGCCTGGAAATCCTTAATTTGCCTGATTGCCCTGTCCGGTGTGAAATTTGGAAGAAACACCTGAGGAACCTGGAGAAATTATCAAAGTCAAAAAATGTTGGGGCTGATGCTAGTATAGCCGGTGCAGTTGCAGCCACGTTGGATCCAGCAACTGAGCCATTGGAAAAGTCAGACTATAGTAAACGAGAGTCGATCAATTTACATCAACCAGGAATTGCATTCATATTAGAAGCTCCAGAAAAGTACACTGAAACAGAGAAACAGAAGATTGAATTTGAAGGTGGGGCTGGAACCTTTTCCTGCAATCAGTTCCATGTCAACAGCCAAGAAGTCCTTAATTTGCCTGATTGCCCTATCCGGTGTGAAGTTTGCTTGATCGATTGTAATAGTAAGCATGTATATATTGGACATTTATCAGGGAAGAAACACAAGAGGAACCTACAGAATGTATCAAAATCAAAAGATGTTGCAGACGTTATGCCAGCAATTGATATGCAACAAGAAACGAATCCAGCAATTGAGCCACAAGGAAAGCTAGAGACTAATCCACAAGAAGGGATGGATTCACATAAATCAGGAAATATTGTAGTGGAGTTTGAGGCTCCAGATAACGATATCGAGACGAAGAAACATGGAAGTGAACTTATCGATGCGGCAGCCGCAACTAATTTTTTCAAAGTGTGCAATCTATGTAACGCGCCATGCAACAGCCAGACGGTCTTTAATTCTCACCTCCAAGGGAAGAGACATGCTGCTAAGGTGAAGAAGGAGCTGGCAAAGTCAAATACTAGTTGGTGGTTTTGAAATGTGAAAAATTGATACGTTGGCACTTGAAGACCTACTAAGTTATATTTGGTGTGTTTAGTACAAGTGTTTACTATTTAAAAATAATGATGACAAATTACTCTCGGAGAGAGTCACCGTTGTGCCATTGGATGACAAGAGCATCTAATATTAGCTCTGGATGGAATAGATGTGTCTATATAGTATCTTCACCTAGGTGGTTCAAATTATTAGTGCAGGATATATTGTATTTGCATAGTTGTGTCTTCTGAGGATCTAATGAGACTATTGGCCTGTGTGCGATGTTTCATTTTGAATATATATGTATATATAGTAACTGCTTAATCCCCATGATAGTTCTATTATCAAGAAGGCTCGTTTATACATGTTTTCCATTTGCTCCCCAAGTACTCCACTTCATGAACGAAAAGGAAATAAATCATAATTATATAAATATCAATTGTACTGAGCAAAGTATATTAAAAGAGGGCGAAAAGTGTCTTGTGTATTTTATTTTATCTTGTCTTGTCTTACGTCCTCTCTTCTCTTATATTGTAAAGTACACCATTTGTTATTGTTCATTTATAATTGCACAAAAAGTAACAAATTTTTTTTCTTTATTGAGAAAATATATCTACAGGTTCTTATAATTTTTAATCAAGTGTATAATTTTATTTATACTCTCATATGTTAGTAAGCCACTTAAAGTGTTTTTACATCCTCAGTGATGCTGATGACACTGTTAAGGTGAATTAAATTTTACAAGGTGGGTGGTGAGATAGACGAAAATTGCTTCTAGAAAAAGGTACTCTTATTAAATAAATTATTTTATATTTTTTTATGGTGAAACGTTCTATTAAATATGGATAAATATGAAAAGGTAGGATTTATTTAAAAACAAGTAACTACTTTACTGAGGGTAAAATTTGGTTAAAAATACTATATATTTTTGAACGAAAGGAGTATTCCTTTGTCTAGCTTCCTCATAATATTTAGAACAAATAAAACTATATATGACAATCAGTGTCGCACAAGAAGAATGATGAATCGTACAAGGCAGTATAAAACTTACTCAGCAAGTCATTGGTTGGAGTCAACTCCTAAAATTCCAATAATCGTTGCCCTAGCACAACTCAGCTTCTTCTCCTCTCTCCCATGCATTTTCTTCCCTTTCTCCTCCTAATTCATGAGCTGATTCACATCAACTTTATCTAAATTTTGTACCATGCATTGCAGTGTAACCCTCCACTATATCTATTTGATATAGGAAAGGATTAACCAAATCACCACATTACAAATAGCATACCATAATCGAATACTTTATTTGAAAAGCTTGGGCCTAAGATTCATTTTGCAAAATCATTAGATTCATACCAAATCAGAGTAACACACAGTGGAAAGCAAAGAGTTGCATTCTTAGGAACTATTGCATGCCTCTAAAACAAAAAAAATAATGTCAGATTTTGGGCCATGTGCCGCAGCGAACAGCACACGGGCTGATACATGTGGCACAGAGCCACACACCCTAAACACCTCTATGTCATGCGCCGCGGCATGATATGCCATGCGCTGCGGCACACAAGTCCAAATTTGCTACTATCATTTAACAGCAAAAATGATGAACTTTCAGCATGTGCTGTCTTAAGATACAACCTCCGATTGAAGTGATTCAAGCACCCACGTAAAGCTTAGCTCGTAAGCTAACTAATGAGATAGGTTTGTACACGATCTAACAGTCCAATCAAAATTTAAATACTAAGGTGCAAAAAAGTTATTTTTTCTAAAAAGTTTTCGCACCCAAGTATTTAAATCGATCCATTTGTCTCATTAAACCACACAAGGCCTTGAAACAAGTCCAAAAGGACCTAACACATCTAGTTAACCACATTATAACACATATGTACTTATATATCACAAATTGGCCAATCAATAGCCCATTTTCACATTTCATAAATTTTCACAATTTGTCTCAAAACTTCTCTTTGGCCATTTTCACCACATTTTCACTACGAATCTCCACTTTACACGTTCACAACATGTTCACAACTCAATTTTAGCCCTAATTACTCATTTCATCACATATTCTTACATATGGGCTAAGATTCACAAAATTCACTACATTTTCCACGAAACGCAACTTAAACATGCATACAATCTCTTATGACAACTTATATATATACAATATTCACATCAAGTTAGTTCATTACATAAACTAAGAGGTCTTGCAATCATGAAACTACTATATCGATTTACACTTTTTTCCCTTGCCCTGATCACTGCTTTGTCCTGTAAACACGTAACCACGGGAGTGAGATAAAAATCTCAATAACAGAATAATTCACTACTGACAACTATCACATGCAACTATATGAAAGCATAGCATATTATATAGTTAAGCATAACATGTAATACCAATTCACTTTAAATTTCATTTATATAATCCATTTCGCTTCTTTCACCACTTTTCCATATATAGCATGATCACTACCGACTAGACCTCTAAATCACCCCAACTTGAAACCATAAGGTTGTCTTAAACCAATATACACTCTCATTGACCCTGAGCTCACCTTTAGTGGTAGAATCACTAGGTCAAAGGTGTTCTTCTCACTTTTGGACAATGGTTTCCCCAATACACATAATGGGTTATCGTTAACTTTAACACCGCATCACATCGATACTAAAGAGTCCAAATCTCCAACATTGCACCTCAATAGGCACTAAAGATAATCTCCAACACCGCATCTCGAAAAGCAATAAGAAGATACAATTCTCCAACATCGCACCCTGTCGAACACTAAAAAGAATATGCCATATGGTCTTATCACTACACTCCACACAGGTGAACTCTCACCCTTATAATCATGCTTTCCGAACCAATCATAGGTTCCACATTCATACATATACCCACAACACATAGCGTGTATGTAACATCCTGAATTTTTTAAATCCTGAGTTTAGAGGTTAATCGAGAGTAAAGTGAAAGTTAGTATGGGATTAGACATTTGAATGATTAATTGGTATTTTGACTTGTTTGTGTGTTGTATGAACAGATATAGGTGATAGGAGTGCGTTTTGGGTCGAAGCAAGTGCGCATGGTGAGAATAAATCTCATTGTGCCATGTGCTGTGGAGCATTGACTAGAAAATCACTCTTAAGTCATGAAATTGGGTGATTTTCAAAAGTAAAAATTTAGAAACATGAGATAGAGAGAGGAGAAGGGCTAAAGAGCTAAGACAAGTTATTTTGGAGTGGTGGAAGGTGATTCGGATCAATAACTTGCCAGGTAAGCTACGTATAACTCTTACCTTCCATTCTACACAAATTTATCTAAAAATGAATTATAGGGAAATTGAATCGATAGAATTTGAGGGGTTTGATTCTTGTCCAATAGTAATAAAAAGGTCCTCAAAAGTTAAATTAGAGCTTTATGACTAGTTTAGAATTGAATGGTAGAGCTTTGAACCCGTAAGCTCAATTTTAGCCTTTAGAGAGAGAAAATTAGGGCAAAAATCTGATTTGAGTGAAATAAGATCGTTTGAGGTGATATAAAGTAGTACTTGAATAGTCATCAACTTAGAATGGATAAATGGAAAAGAGTTTATAGATGAATATAGCGCTAAGTAGTAAAAATAAGTTTTTGGTCGAAATGGACCAAATGACTAAAATGTGCCAAATGTGTTCAGATTGGCATATTAGATGCGTGAGTAGAGAAAGAAAGCTTGAGATAAGCTTGTGTGAGAGTTGAAATCCACGGGTAACCTTTCTAGTGATAGAAGGGTTGATGTAACTAAATAACTTCCTTTGTTTGACTATTTATTATAGCTATATGTTAGTATGCTATGTAGTGCATTAAATGATTTTAAGCTAACAATGTTTTATAGCTTTGAGTGCTTGTTGTGTGTAAAATGGTGTTTGATTGATGTAAGCATGGAAATGTTGTTTTGTAATGAAAAGTATTATATGTATATGTTATGTGTAAGAAAGTGTTAAATGATAATTGGGAACCTTAAATGGTTCAAAAAAAACATGATCATAGGGTGGGAGTTCATCCGAGTGTAGGAGATAATAAAGACCATGTGGCAAGATTTCCTTAATACCCTGTAGGGTGCGATGTTGGAAACAATTCTCCTTAGTTCCTTAAAAGGTACGGTGTTGGAGATGAGAGACTCCTTAGTATCCTTGTGATATAGTGTTAGAGTTAATGATGCCCCATTGTATGTATTGGGAGAAACCATAGTCCGTATTGTGCGATAGAACATCTTTGGTCGGGTGATTCTACCACTGCAGGTGAGCTCAAAACTATGAGAGTGTACATTGGTTTAAGATAAGCCTATAGTTTCATGTTGGGGTGATTTGGAGGTTCAGTTGGTAGAGATCATGCTAGTATATTATGTGATACGATAAAATATCTTGAGATAACATGGAATCCTTTGTGATTGAGGAAAAGTTGAGAATGAAATAAGATATGTGATCTAAATGCTATTTTATGAGATTTTAATGATATACTATGTTTTCTTTCATATTGTTGCATGTGATAGTCAATAGGAGTGAGTTATTCTATTACTGAAATGTTTATCTTACCTCCATGGTTACATGTTTACAGGATTAGGAAGTGATTAGGGCAAGGGAAGAGAGTTTGGAGCAGCTTGAGTTGTGAAGCCGTGCAGTTTGAGTTTGTAATGAACTGAATTGAAAGATTGTATATATAAGTGTATATGAGTTGCCATAGAGTTGCGTGCATATATAGAATTGAGATTTTGTGAAATCAAGCTCGATTATGTGTATATGTGTTGTTTGAGACAAAGGGGCTATGATTTGAATATGTTTGGCTGTGTTGGTGAATCTTAAGCCAAAGATATGATGAAATGAGTAATTTGGAGGCTAGGATTGTATTATAAATATGATTGTATATGTATAAGTTGAGAAATAGCCAAGTGGGCTAAGTTATGCCAAGAAATGGCATAGTATGTGAAATTAGTGAATTGTGGAAACAGGCCGTGAAAAGGTCAAATTTTGATATATGAGTATGATTGTGAATAATTGTGGTCAATTAAGTGTATTAGATCCTTTTAGACTTGGTTCAAGGCCTAGTGTGATCTATTGAGAGAAAGGGATCGTTTTGAGTGATTGGGTGTACAAAATTTTTCAAAAAGAGTGACTTTTTATACTTGAGTGTCCAAATTGTGATCAGACCATTAGATCGTGTCCAAACTTATCTCATTAGTTAGTATACAAACTAAACTTTATGTGGGCACTTGAATCACTTCGATTGAATGTTGTATGTGAAAACGGTGCATGCCGAAAGTTCATTATTTTTGCTATCAAAATGACAGCAAAAATTTTGGACAGGCACACCACGGTGCATAATGACACATGCTACGATGCACGGTATAGCAAGGGTGAGCGTATGGCTCTGTGCCAGATGTTGCGGCGTACAGATTGCACGTCGTGGCACATGGACCAAATTTCAGTTTTATTTTATGTTAAAATGCATGCAATTGGGATAGGTTATGTCCACTATATACTTGAGGAGTGTATGATTTACTTCCATTGTGTTTTTTCTAATTGTATTGTAAATTGATTGATTTTTCAAAATAAATCCTTTGCCGAAGCTTTTGAAATGAAATTTGATTATTATGATTGATGTGAGATAGTGGTAACACTATAATCTTCTTTTATATTGAGTGAATATAAGAGGAGGTTACAATGTGTGTGTGTGTGTGTGTATTTAAAGTATGAAATCACATATTTTCACTCATCTATTCGATTAAAAGCTATTTTCATGCAAAATTTACAAAATGCCATAAATCATGCTTAATTTGAAACCAGTTCATGTACTAAATAGCATACTCACACACAATTACAATAAATAGTCAAATAGAGGAAGTTATTTGATTACCTCAATCTTTCTGTCACAAGAAAGGTTACTTGTGAATTTCAATTACCATAACAACTCATCATAAACTTCCTTTCTCAACTTATGTACGTGATATGCCAATCTACACATAATTGGCACATTTTAGTCAATTAGTCCAATTGACTAAAAATACTTAATTATCAATTATGGCTATATTTAGCCATCAATTCATTTCTATTTAACCATTCTAAGTCTATTACCACTTGCTTACCACTTTATATCTCTTCAAACAATCTCATTTTGATTAAACACAATTCTCACCCCTAATTTCCATTAATTTAGGACCAAATTGAGCTTATGGGTTTAAAGCTCTATTGTTCAGCTCTAAACCATTCGCAAAGCTCTAATTTAACTCTTGAGAACCTTTTTATTACTATTGGGTAAAAATCAAATCTCTTAAATTTCACCGATTCAATTTCTCTATAACTCATACTTAGAGAAATTTGGGTAGAATGGAAGGTAAGGGTTTTACATACCTTACCTGACAAGTTACTGATCAGAAGTGCCTTCCAAGCTCCCAAACCACCTTGCCCTAACACACCTCAACTTCTTCTCTTCTCCTTCTCGTGTGTTTCTAATTCTTTTGTATGAAATTCACCCAAATTTCATGACTTATAAGGTCATTTTTTAGTCCATGCACTATAGCGTAGGTAGCATCTACTACAACGCATGGCATAGTGAGGAGAATCTTCACCAAGCGCACTTGCTTCCACTTGAAATGCAATCCTTTCACCCATATCTATTCATTTATCATCCTAAAGACACAAATCATCAACTAATCATCCAAATCTTTGATCCTTTTCTAATTACCACTTTACCCTTAATTAAGAGCTAATTACAGGATTAGAAGATTAGGATGTTATATGCAGTGCATGAAACAGTAAGATAATTCCTATTGCTGCTCGTCCATTTCATTTTGAATCATCATCCTACCACTTAATCCTATTAACATACCAGCCAAACAATACTAAACATTAACCCATTATCCAAAACCATAATTAATTTATTAATTATTAATTTATCCCTACTTAGCAATTAGTTTATCAGATTAAAGTTTAGGATGTTATAAAAATTTTGTATTAAAAATGAAGGGAATGAACCTCTAAATTAACGAAAGAATTTTTTCTCCACATGTCCTCATTTTTCTCTTGTTAAGTAACTTTTTTTGTAGCACATTAATAGAATAAGTGGTATCTTTCAAATAAATATTTTTGTTGCATATTATTAATCTTGATTTGTCATGTTTTTTATTTTACTCTTAACACTGCAATGTACAAAGAGTAATAAATTTGGGTAGTGAAATGTTTTGGAGGAAAATCCATTAGTTGACAAAAAAATTATAGAAAATGATCAAAAATTTAAGGAA